TGGGTCTCACCAGAGCAGAGCAGAGGGGAAGAATCACCTCTTTGCCCTGCTGCCCACACTCCTGTGGATGCAGCCCAGGATTCCATTGGATTCTGGGCTGAGCTCACACTGCAGCTCATGGTGAGCTTCTCATCCACTGTCACTCCCATGTCTTTCTCCTCACTGCTGCTCTCAATTCCTTCCCCACCCAACCTGTAGCTGTGCCTGGGATTGTCATGGCCCAGATGTAGGACCTTGCACTTCATTTTGTTGAACTCCATGAGGTTTGCATTGTTCCACCTCTCAAGCCTGTCAAGGTCCCTCTGGATGTGTCCCATACCTTCTCTCCAGCTGTGACTGCCCCACACACTTGATGTGGTCAGAGAACTTGCCAAGGGTCACTCAATCCACTGTCCCTGTCACTTACAAAGATGTTGATAGGATATATTTAACACATATCCACAGCCACACAGGGCTGAGAACCATGTCTGGCATGAAATGTTTGGTAACATCAGAAAATCATACATTTCTTCAGGGCTTTGGACCTGAGAATTTGGCCTGTGTTCATCTTTCAGTGTGGATGTTTGTCACCATTGCCTGGTGTGGAGGGAAGAAGTCAGGAGAAGGAAGGAATTTAGTGTAACATAAATAGGGCTTAGGGGAAAGCTACTGGGAGCTAGTGTCAGGTAATCCTGTTGTATGCATTAGGCATTCCTTCTCCAGGAGTGGTGACATGTTTATTCTGCTCCAGGAGTGGTGACATGTTTAGGAAGATCCAAGAGGCAAGAAGGGATTATAATGTTTGCTATTAATACAGTTTAGTACTGTGGAGGACAAATCAAATCCTTCAGAAGAGGTGATCAAGAGTATCTCAGAATCTCAGCCATTCACTGTGCAAAGCTCTGCCCAGGGCAGTGCAGGGCAGGGTGCCCTGTGAGCAGCATTTTGTGTTCCAGTCTTTTCCCTCCCTCCTTCCCTTCATTTGCAGGTTTTAAGACATCTACCAAAGGTTTACAGAAGTAACTGTGTGATATGCCAAAACAGCAACACACAAATGTGTGGAGACCTCAGAGCAACCTGCCAGGAGCTGAAGGGGCTCCAGGGAAGCTGGAGAGGACTCTTGGTTAGGAACTGCAGGGGCAGGGCAAGGAGGAATGGGGACAAATTAAAAGAGGGAAATTTAGATTAGCTATTAGGCAGAAGTTTTCCCTGTGAGGGTGGTGAGACACTGGCACAGGTTGCCCAGGGAGGCTGTGGCTGCCCCAACCCTGGCAGTGTTTCATTCCAGGCGGGCTAAAGCCTTGAGCAACCTGCTCTGGTGGGAGGTGTCCCTTCCCAGGGCAGGGGGTTGGGGCTGGATGATCTCTAAGCTCCATTCCAGGCCCTGAACACACTATGGCACTATGAAGTTGCATGTTCCTTTGTGCCTGTGTTGCCTGAAGGAGTGCAGAGGGTAACCAGACCCAGCATTAATCCCACAGGGGAATCAAATCTAATTGCTCTTTCAGAGCTGCAGTAACTCTATCGTTCCTGGCATCTCTCATATGACATGGAATCTGCCTTCCCATGTTGCCTGCAAGACAGGGATGTGTTACATTACACATTGTCCAACCTAAGACCCAGGGACAGAGACCCCTGTGACAGCAGGTCCCATGAGTGATCCATAACAATAACTGCCTCATGCTGAGCTCACACTTCACCCTTTCCTTCTAAAGTCTTCCAGTCTGCTCTCAGGTCTGTTGCTAATTTAAACAAGCTAATTTGGATCAGGATGTGCTTCTGCTTCATGCCCCAGTTTAGACATCCATCTCCGTGGTTTTCTTCTCAGCAACTGCTCTTGCCATCCATCAGAGTCACCACGTGAGAGCCATGTGGTGGAATATTGCCTGAAACACGAGAGGAGGTCTTTGGAGGAAAGCCAGGGGACATGGACAGGGAAGGGGTGACTGGGGGATGCTGTTGGATGTGTACATTTAACCTTGCTAGTCCTTCTCATACCTGGTTTGTGTTGGCTCAAAATTGTGTCGTAATGTGTTTGGAGAAGACATGTCATGATATGTTGATTGGCAGGTCTGTGTCAACTTGGCTCCTGGGATGTGGCAAGTGAGGAAAGGCAAACTGTGTCCCTGAAGTGAGCTGTGTGAGCTCTGTCATTTCCCTTGGAAACTGCAAATAATGGAATGATTTGTGTCTTTCACAGGAGAACCTGTAACCTGTCTGTGCTGACCACAGGCAGCTGAGCAAAGCAGCATGGCAAGCCATCAGGCAGGTGAGAGAACACACACAGCTGGGAAAACTACCTGAGGAAAACCCCTGGTCTGGGGGTCTGTCCCCACCACAAGGAGAGACACCAGAACTGACCCACCAGGTTCTGCTGACCTTGGCCACAGGGTCCCTCTCATGCCAGACCACCTCCCTGGGCAATCTATCAGGCAGCTGAGCAAAGCAGCATGGCAAGCCATCAGGCAGGTGAGAGAACACACACAGCTGGGAAAACTACCTGAGGAAAACCCCTGGTCTGGGGGTCTGTCCCCACCACAAGGAGAGACACCAGAACTGACCCACCAGGTTCTGCTGACCTTGGCCACAGGGTCCCTCTCATGCCAGACCACCTCCCTGGGCAATCTATGGTGTTGTGTTCAGGCACTGGAATATTGCCCAGGGAGGTGGTGGAGTCACCATCCCTGGAGGTGTTTCAGGGGTGTCTGGATCTGGTGCTGGAGGATCTAGTTTAGGGTTTAAGGGTTACAGCAGTGACAGGTTAATGGTTGGACTTGATGATTTTAGAGGTCTCCTCCAGCACTGATGACTCCATGATTCTTTGTTGAAAGTTTTATTGGGAACAGTAACTGCTACACAGCATTCCCTGTCCAAATCATCACCAGACCTGCAAACTGAGGTGGCTCTGGATTAGAGATTTGGCTGCAGATTGTCCCACTTGGGTCCTAGTCTTGCCTTGTCAGCACAGAATCACAGAGCTTTGTGCTCCAGCCCGTGGTGCTGGGATGGGTGGGACCTTTGCAGCCCACGAGGAGCTGAGCAGGAGCAGTCACAGCTCTGTGGAGAGGCAATACAGACTGAGTGGCTGTTTCTGAAGGATAAACATGTTATCTTAATTGAATGTGATTTTTCTCACCTTTCTAGTAAGAATCTTCAAGAAATCTTCTATCCCAGGAGTTGTTATCACCCAGTTTGTGAATGATGTTCCAAAAGGATGCAGCACCCCTGACTTTGAGAAGAAACCTGTCACTCTGACACTGCAGGAAGGTGAGATCATAGAATCATAGAATTCAGGAGTTGGAATGGACCTTACAGACCATCTAGTTCTAACCTGCTGCCCTGGGCAGGGACACCTCCCACCAGAGCAGGTTGCTCAAGGCTTTAGCCAACCTGGAATGAAACACTGCCAGGGTTGGGGCAGTCACAGCCTCCCTGGGCAACCTATGCCAGTGTCTCACCACCCTTAGAGCAAAAACCTCTTTTCTAATATCTAACCTAAACTTCCCCTCCTTCAGTTTGAACCCCTTTCCCCTTGTCCTATCACTGCATTTCCTAACAAAGAGTCCCTCTCCTTTCCTCCCTTGAAAACCAGGCAAAGCCACAGACCTCAGGCTTGACCTCACATCTCACCTACATGACCCATGAACATAACTAAGTCAAGCTTGATTCTAAAGTGACTTGGACATGACCAGAACAAAAGTGTTATGTAGCCATAGTCTTTGTCACACTGATGAAAATTCCATCAGTACTGGCAGAGGTCTCTGAGTTGTAACTAGTGTATACAAGATCAAACTCTGCCTCCCAATGTGTACAACAACTCCTGTGACTGCTGCAGGAAGCTCTCACGGTAAGTGTTGTGCAGCAAAAGCTTAAGCACATTGAAAAAGGTGTTTTTTCCTGTTGAACAAACATGCTCTGAGTGTTCAGCACTTAAATATGCTGGTTTTTAAAGATATACTGACTGCAGATGCTATTTAGGCTACAGCAGCTTTCCAGGGCCTGAAAGAGCTCCAAGAAAGCTGCAGAGGGACTTGGGACAAGGCATGGAGGGACAGGACACAGGGAATGACTTCCCACTGCCAGAGGGCAGGGATGGATGGGATATTGGGAAGGAATTCCTCCCTGTGAGGTGCTGAGGCCCTGGCACAGTTTGCCCAGAGCAGCTGTGGCTGTTCCATCCCTGGGAGTGTTCCAGGCCAGGTTGGATGGAGCTTGGAGCAACTTGCTCTGGTGGGAGGTGTCCCTGCCCAGGGCAGGGGGTGGTACTGGATGAGCTTTAAGGTCTTTCCAACCTAAACCATTCCATGGTTCTACAGTGATTCTATGTACTTCTTCAAGGAGCAACATGGATCTTGCATAGAGCACAGAGAAGGCTGAGGGGATACAATCAGTTAAAAGCCTTCCAGGAGTCTCTGGACACCTGCAGAGAGTATTTTTATTGGCGTTTTGTTAGTGTGGAATATCCTGAGGAGATCCCATAGCTCCTCTTCCCTTTCAAGACTCCTTTCTAGCAGCCTGGATTTCAGGGCTTCACACCCACTAGTCAATGAGGTTTTAAGACGGATCACAGTGGCCTCTAGTGGAACCTCCTCCTCTTCATCCTCCAAGTCCCAGGCATGAGCCAAGGGATCTCTCTAAATTGTCACCTCTCTAGATTTTCTCACCAGTACAGGTTGAGGTCTGACCTGCTGTAGAGCAGCTCTGCAGACAAGGACCTGGGGGTTCTGGTGGGCAACAAGCTGTTCCTGAGCCAGCAGTGTGCCCTTGGTGGCTGAGAGGCCAATGGAGTCCTGGGATGGATTAGGAAGAGCATTGCCAGCAGGTCAGGGAGGTGATCTTGACCCTCTGCTCAGCCCTGGTGAGGAACATCTGGAATATTGTTGGACCTGTTCAGCCTCAAGAACAGATGACTGAGAGGGACCTCAACCATGCCAATCACTATCTTAAGGGGGTATCAAGAGGATGATCAGACTCTGCTCAGTGCTGCAAACCAATAAAACAAGAGGTAAAGGGCAGGAACTGATGCACAGGAAGTTCCGCCTGAACACAAGGAAGAACTTCTTCCCTGCGCAGTGACTGAGCACTGAGCAGATTGCCCAGAGAGGTCCTGGATTCTCCCTCACTGGGAATATTCCAGAACCATCTGGACACAACCCTGAGCCATGTGCTCTGGGCTGGTCCTGCTGGAGCAGGGAGGTGGGACCAGATGACCATTGTGGTCCCTTCCAACCTAACTGATTCTCTGACTGTGAAGTCTAGGTTTGCACTAGGCAGTGGAAAAGCTGTTGGAGCTATCTGTGGTCAGCTGCAGGGTACTCAGGGTCTTGGTGGAGCAGAGATGGAGGGGATGAAGCCTATCCTCTTCTCCCTTCTTTGCCTCTTCCAACAGCAGAGCCTGGTGTGTTTGCAGTGCAAGGTGGTGACAGGTTAGCAGACAAGGTACAACAGTCTGAAGGATGGAGAAGCAATGGGATTTTATAGGGAACCTGTGTGTGATGAGGAAGGATTTGACCATTCCATGGGTGTCACACAGCAGTACAAGTTGGCAGAATCAAGTCTAGGCTGAACTTGCTGTAGTGCTGCTGAGTCCAGAGCTGGTCAGAGATGTTGGCAGACACCTCTGGCAGCCCATCAAGACCTTTTGTGACTGAATACAGCCAAACCTTGAATGAATGATGTGGAGAAAAGCAGACCAGCCTGGGTTTGAGCTAATACCTTCTTGCTCTTTGGCCCTGCCCAAACACAGACCAGGACATCAAAGTGTTGCTTTCTGGGTCCATAATTTCTCTATCCACGTGGCTGTGCACTGTCAACACAGACAGAGCCCACATGTGCCAGTGGGGAATTTCCAAGGTAGCTTTTTCAAGTCATGTCTTTACAAGCCACTGAGTTAGAGCAGAGATTACAGCAGATGTCACACAGCAATTTGGGCTTTTAATGCAGCTTATACTGGTAATTGAGGCATTTTTTGTTTGGTTTTACAGAGAAAACAAGAAGATATAATCACTTTTGAAGATTTGTGCCTAAAACAGAAGAGCTGGCCCACTCTGGGGATCATTATTGATAAGGCATGTTCAAGTCTGTCTTAAATAACTAATTTCTTCCTTCTTTTCAAAGGTAAAAATGCCATTTTCAGAGCTGTGGTCAAAGGTGTCCCAACCCCTGAGGTGAAATGGTCACGTGCACAGATAGGATTGGATGACCCTACCAAATATGAGATGTCCTTCAATAAAGCTACAAATGAATTCATTCTGCAGGTAAAGAGCAGCAAGTTCAGAAAGAACTTGTGGAACTGGGAGAGAAATAGTAAGGAAGAACCTGCAGTGGGCTGAGGAGCAGTGAATGGACAGGCACTGAGCTCTGCTCCCTGTCACCAGTGACAGGACACAGGGAATGGCTGGAGCTGTGTCAGGGGAGGGTTAGGCTGGAGATTAGGCAAAGGTTCTTCCCCCAGAGGTGTTTGGGCACTGAAACAGTTCCTCAGGGCAGTGGTCACAGCCCCAAGGCTGACAGAGCTCCAGGAGCATCTGGATGATGCCTAATCATATTCCCCTTGAGCACTGGGAGCAGTTCTGGGCACCACAAGATAAGACCTAAAGCTATTAGGGGACATCCAAAGGAGGGACATGAAGATGGTGAAGGGTCTTGAGGGGCCATAGGAGCAGCAGCTGAGGGCACTTGGTTTGCTCAGCCTGGAAAAGAGAAGCCTAGGGGCAGAGCTCATCAGGGTCTGCAGCTCCTCTTGAGGGGCAGCTCTGACCTCTGTTCTCTGTGACAGTGACAGGACACAGGGAATGGCTGGAGCTGTGTCAGGGGAGGGGTGGGCTGGATGGCAGGGAAAGGTTGTTCCCCCAGAGGTGTTTGGGCACTGGAACAGCTCCCCAGGGCAGTGGTCACAGCCCCAAGGCTGACAGAGCTCCAGGAGTGTTTGGCCAATGCTCTCAGGCACAGGGTGGAGTGTTGGGGTGTCCTGGGCAGGACAGGAGTTGGACTAGATGATCCTTGTGGGTTCCTTCCAACTCAGGGCATTCCATGATTCTGTCCCAGATCTGAGATAACACACAAATAAGCACATAAAGCTTTTTAGAGTCCTGGGAACAGCAGAAGGCTCTGAGATGTCCTTGAGCAGGTTCTTGAGTAGAAGCTGAAGGGGTGTGAACATCACACACCACAGCACATTGCTGTGAGCTCTTCCTGTGTTCTCCTATTCCAGATAAAGAACTTGGCAGTGACTGACAGTGACTTGTATCGCTGCTGTGCTGTGAATGAATACGGAGAAGCCTCGTGCTCTGCTGGCCTCAGGATCATCCAAGGTGGGATTGACAGTCCTGTGGTCCCAGGCAGTGGCTGTGCTGTCTCCTGGGGGTGGCTTTGTCTGAGCATCCTTGGTGTGAAGGTCTCTGGTTCCCTCACTGAGGTCTGGAGCTCTTTTTGTGGCCCCAGGACAATGTGAGCTTTAAGGCAAGGGAGAAGAAAGTGAAACTGTGGTCACTGCACTGGATTTATTGTTGGATTGGCTCTATCCTTCCTTCATGTTGTTGGAGGAGTCAGTGCTTTGGAAGGGACCCATCCCAATTCAGCTGTCTATGTCCTAGTCACCTCCTGCCCTTTAGAGTCTCTGGGGAGAAATGGGCACTTTGTGGGTCACACATAACTGACCTGTTCTGGGAATCAACCTGAGCAGAAGGTGGACTCTGTAGGGAGTGTCTGTGTCACCTCTGTGCCTGTCAAGCAGGCTGAGAAGGCAACTCTCTGCTGTTGCCCATTTCCATCTTGGCTGCCCATCTCTAACCCAGCAGAAAAGCTCCTCTGCACCCTGTGGAGCATCCAGCAAGCACAGACTCAATTGCAGTAGAAATATTGCATTTATGGATGGAGATTTCTAGCAGTCAGTGGCAGATTGACAAGGAAATCCAAACTGGGATTGCTAACAATACAGAGGTTTCATGGTTCATTGCTCTACTGCTGTTAGACTTCTCTTGTTCGTCTCATGGCTTGTTTTCCTTCTATTTTATCTTCTAAACTCTCAGTTGGCTTTAAGAAGAAAGCACAATATGTTTCTGTTCATCCTGCTGATGGTGAGTTAAAGATATATATATATTATATCATTTGGGAGGGGATAGCTAATAATATAGAGTTAATAATCTGCCACATTATTCCTTGTAAAGACCAAAGTAAGAGAAGGATCACTGAATCTCTAATGTTCTGTCATCTCTGCCTGGTTGCTCTTTACCTCTTGGTACACTGATGACCTTAGACACAGCTTTGAGCTGCTCTAATTAATGACTGTGGAATCATTAGTGCTAGAAAAGAATTTGGGATGTGAAGTACAGCTGGAACAACCACAATATTTAGGCTGGAAAGTAGTGGGGCTCTAGGGAAAAGCCCCTAGGAAGTGATGGAGTTTACTGGCACTCAGAGGATGAGTGTGGCAGCAAGAACTGACTCTGAGTGTCACGACAGGTTTTATGTTGATCACAAAGGGACTTGACAGTGCTGGTGGCAGCAGCTCAGTGTGAGCCAACAGTGTGACCAGGTGGCCAAGGAGGCCAAGGCCATCTTGGCCTGGAGCAAGGACAGTGTGGCAGCAGGACTAGGGCAGTGCTCATCCCCTGGACTGGGTACTGGGGAGGTCACAGCTCAGTGCTGGGGTCAGGTTTGGGCACTCGGGTGGGGGGGGCAGAGTCTGGAGAGGTGTTGGTCACAAAGGGACTTGACAGTGCTGGTGGCAGCAGCTCAGTGTGAGCCAACAGTGTGACCAGGTGGCCAAGGAGGCCAAGGCCATCTTGGCCTGGAGCAAGGACAGTGTGGCAGCAGGACTAGGGCAGTGCTCATCCCCTGGACTGGGTACTGGGGAGGTCACAGCTCAGTGCTGGGGTCAGGTTTGGGCACTCACTGCAAAAAGGACATTGAGGCACTGGAGAGAGTCTAGAGAAGGACAGTGAGGGCAGAAAAGGCCTAGAACACATGTCCAATGAGGCTCCGGAGAGGTCTAGAACACCTAAGGAAGGGCCGAGGGAGTTGGGTTTGTTCAGCCTTGAGAAGAGGCTCAGGGGGTGACGTCATGGCTCTCTCCTACTCCCTGACGGGGTTGGAGAGGGGTGGGGGATGTCTCTCCTGCCATGGCTGCAGGGAGAGGACTAGAGGGAATGGCCTTGAGCTGAGACAGGGCAGAGACAGAGGAGATGTTAGCAGGAATTTTTCCCTGTTAGGGTGTTCAGACCATGGAATAGGTTGCTCAGAGAGGTGTTTAAGAGGTGTCTGGATCTGGTGCTGGAGGATTTGGTTTAGTGTTTAGGGGTTCCAGCAGTGACAGGTTAATGGTTGGAGTCGATGATCTTAGAGGTGTCTTCCAACCTTGATGACTGTGATCCTATGAGCAGTCTTTGTGAAGTGTGAAAAATTCTCCAGAGGTGAACAGCACAGAACGACTTGTCAGTGGCTATTCTGCATTATTTTCTCTTTGGGGATGATTTTAGAGTGTTGGGTATCTGAGTGATTCTTGTTTCCCCTCACCCCTTTAACAGAGCTCAGAAAGACACTCCAGGACTCTAAGAAGCTGCTGAAGAAGAGGTAAGCCTCCCTAGTGAAGGCCACAGATGTTCCTTGATGATAGGAAACAGCTTCACAGATCCTCAAGGCAACACTTCTTGTTTCCAAAGTTGTGGTGAGACTCCCTATGGAAGGACACACCAGAACAACTTGCCACTGCCTGTGGGGCTGAGCTAAACACAAAGTACAGCCTCATTCTGAGCTCTGTGTTCCTTTGCACCACAAAAGTTAGACTGAAATGATTTGTTTCTCTGCTTTTCTCTGTTTAGCTCAGGAGGAGCTTCCTGGCTAAGTGATAAGTGTTCATGTGCTGATGGTTCTGGTTGCTCAGGAGAGTCATTGAGGGCAGGGTGGTTGGGTGGAAAAGGGATTGAGAGCAGCCCTGGGGGAAGGACTTGGGGGTGATGGTGGTGCCAAACTCCCCATGAGCTCAGGGCGAGCTCACAGCCCAGAAACCAACCCAGGCCTGGGCTGCAGCCAGAGGAGTGTGGCAGCAGGGGAGGGAGGGGATTCTCCTCCTCTGCTCTGCTCTGTGAGACCCACCTGGAGTGCTGCACACAGCTCTGTGTCCCCAACAGCAGGAGGACATGGAACTGTTGGAGCAAGTGCAGAGGAGGCCACGGAGCTGATCAGAGCACTGGAGCACCTTCCCTATGAGGACAGGCTGAGAAAATGGGGGCTGTGCAGCCTGGAGAAGAGAAGGTTGTGTGGAGACCTTAGAGCAACCTGCCAGGAGCTGAAGAGGCTCCAGGGAAGCTGCAGAGACTCTTGGTTAGGAACTGCAGGGACAGGACAAGGAGGAATGGGGAGAAATTGAAAGGGGCAATTTAGATTAGATCTTAGGGAGAGTTTTTTCCCTGTGAGTGTGGTGACGCACTAGCACAGGTTGCCCAAGGAGGCTCTGGATGCCTCGGGAAGGCTATGGGTGCCCCAACCCTGGCTGTGTTCAAATCCTACATCTACAGAGCCAAGTGAACCACAGAGACGATGGAGAGAGAGAGAGAGAGAGAGAGGAAAGGGAATTAAAGGATGGGAAAACAAAACCTCTTGTTGTCTGTCAAAATACCTAGATTCTTTTTCCCTCCCTGGTTCTAAGGGTCACAGCACCAAAACCCAAAACTGTGGACAAGGAAGTTGTCTGGCAGCTGCTGCTGCATGCAGACAAGAAAGACTATGAGAAAATCTGCATTAAATATGGCATTGTTGACTTCCGTGGGATGCTGAGGAAGCTGCAGGAGATGAGGAAGGACTCGGAGAGTGAACAAGATGAGGTAAAAGAAACTAAAACCACTGAAACCACTGATTTTGAACAAACTCAGAGTCCTCAGTAGCTTCTAAAAACAGGCTGAAGCTTCCTAAATGGCTTTGTAGGTGAAAAGTTTATTGTATAAATAAAATTCATATAGGTATGACAGAGTGATCTATGACAGTGTTATAAAGAGGTCTCAGTTCTCCTGCAGATGAAAATGCTGATGACCTTTTGAGGTTCAATCCATATATTTTAGGGCATACTGACCATAGAGATATTCACTTGCCTCTGATGGGAATTTGGAACCCAAATTGAATAGTTTCCACTCACATCCCTGAGAGTGGAAATTTGCCTTCACATCCAGGGACATGTAGAAACCTGAATGGATAGTGGTTGCACAGTGTGGGAATGACCAGAAGGCAGCATAATATATACGTAATTTATCTACATGAGAAAACTGTGGAATCTTCCAGATGCTTCTCCTACACACACAACATCAGAGTAGCTCTTTTCTGTGCAGATAAAAGGTAGATGTCACATTAATTCAGCAGCTTGAGAACTTGTGTCCTGGCAGCTTTGTTATTTACTAGGTTCTTCTATGTTTTTTTCCAGTTAATTCACAGTATTAAAAACTTGGAACACATCAGAGTCGACAAGGAGGGAAATGCCACGTTCAGCCTGGAGATGGAGCTGAAAAACAGCAACAGCAACGTGTATCTGCTCAAGGTGATGTGGGGAGAGGACTTGGGCAGCTCACAGCAGCCACTGAAGTCTTCTGCAGAAGATTTCACCTGATGGGCAGTGGCTAAGAGCAAACAAACTCCTCAAAGCTCTTTGTCCTTTTCAGAATCCTTGCTTGGACAGGGAGGAGGGTTGGTGTGGGGTAGTTCTTGGTGGTGAATATCCCTTGGGATTTGTAGCTCCAAGTACAAGGCACACAGTCAGTGACTGACATCCTTGTGACCTCCTGAGCTCTTCCAGCAAGAGGAAATTCATAGAATAGTTTGATTGGAAGGGACCTGTTAAAGGCCACCTAGTCCCACCCCCTTCCCATGGGCAGGGACACCTCCCACCAGCCCAGATTGCTCCAAGCCCTGTCCAACCTGGCCTGGAACACTCCCAGGGATGGAACAGCCACAGCTGCTCTGGACAACCTGTGCCAGTGCCTCGGCACCCTCACAGAGAGGAATTCTTTCCCAATATCCCATCTGTCCCTGCTCTCTGGCAGTGGGAAGCCATTCCCTGTGTCCTGTCCCTCCATCCCTTGTCCCAAGTCCCTCTGCAGCTCTCTTGGAGCCCCTTGAGGCACTGGAAGGGGCTCTGAGGTCTCCCTGGAGCTTCTCTTCTCCAGGCTGAACACCCCCAGCTCTCCCATGGCTCCAGGGCAGAGGAGCTCCAGACCTTGGATCACCCAGTGCCACCCCTTCCCATGGGCAGGGACACCTTCCCACCAGCCCAAGTTGCTCCAAGCCCTGTCCAACTTGCCTGAGACACTTCCAGGGATGAGGCAGCCACAGCTGCTCTGGGCAACCTGTGCCAGAGTTTTACCACCCTCCTTATAAAAACTTTCTTCTATCTACCCTAAATCAACCTTCTTCAGTTTCACACCATGGCCCTTGTCCTGCCAGAGTCCCTCAGGTTGCAGAACTCCTGAAGCCTCATATGAAACCCCAGACTGATTTGACTCACTTCCTCAAGTGTCGTGTTGCATTATAACTCACTTCTGTGAGAGCAGATCTCGAGGAAATAGAACATCCTGTCCTAGCTCTGTACTTCCCTGTTGTGGTCTCCAGGAGCTCAGTGCTGTGGGTGTTTTTCTTGAGGATACATTTCAGTCAAACTGTGCTCAGAGACTTTAAGACAGGGGAAAATCAGAACTCATTAAAGAGCAGGTCAGAGTAACTATGAACTTCTGAATCAAAGGTATGACATGAAGTCTATGAGCCACAACTTGGAAAGTGTAACCGAAGAGTGTTACAGAAAGGGCTGAACTCACTTACCCAACTATAAGGGTGCTGAAATCTAGGCAAAGAAAGGACTTTGTCTTTGAAGTGACAGCAACTGTGGATTAGTTAAGCCTCCAACCCTCGTGTGGGTAGCACAGAGCTGCTGGTTTCCCTGGTTTGAGTGCTCTGTGCTGTGCAGGACTCACCATGCAGGAACTGCCTTTGTGCTGCAGAAGCAATGAGCTCTGTCCCCTGTGAGCAGCAACAGAGTGTGGACCTCTCTGTTGTCACTCATTGATACCAAGGAGGTGATTGCAGCCCCAGTTTACTCTGATGTGTTTGGATGCCTCACACCAGCTGAGCATTCCCTGTGTAACTCCTTCTCTTCCCAGGATGGAGAGCGGCTCAGGTATGGCACAGGGGATGAGTACAGAAAGCACTGCCTGAGGAGAATTGGGAAGAGGTACCAGTTCATCATCAATGATGTGCAGCCAGAGGATGCAGGATTGTACCAAGTCAGGGTGGAGGATGTCCCTGTTTTCTCAACTGAGCTGGATGCTGAAGGTGAGGAATCGAGTTTGATGTGTGTGGTGTGAAACCACACAAGGAATTCTTTTTCACTGGACAGTTTTATCTAGGGACAAATGCAAAGCTGAGCAGTAACTCCTGACAGCTGCAGAGCACTGGGGTTGTGTGGCCACATAAGGCTCCTCATGTGGCACAGGGGGAAAAGGGCAGGAGAGTGATTATGTGACATGGGTGTTGTGTTTGTAGTCCAAAAGAGCAGACTGAGGTTCAAGCACCAGTTTAGCTTCTGGATGGCAGTGAGCCATTCCTTAACTTACCCCATGCTAGAGTTTGCTTCTCTTTTTTTCTGGTATTGTTCCAGAACAATAGCTACCAACTCAATACAAGTATCTTGCTGCAGGTATACACTGAAATCAGAATCACCAAGGCTGGAGGAGACCTCTAAGATCCTTGAGTCCAACTGTTAACCTGTCACTGCTGTAGCCCCTAAACCATATCTTCCAGTGCCAGATTGTAGTCTTTAATGACCACAAACTGCCAGCACACCAGTGCTGTATGAACTAAATGACCCAGAGGATAATAAAGACACAAATCTACACTTCTGCTTTTCCATCCTGCAGCTCCGAGCACAGAACCACATTCTGGTTTTCCTGTTTTGCCTTAACCTAATGCTCAGAGGCATCACAACTTCCTGTTCCTTCTTCCTTCAGCTGTGACAGGTTTCTGTTGGAGGACAGAATCAGCTGTTGCCTTTCCCTAGCTTTGCCTTTCCCAAAAATCTCCTTTTCTGCTTTTTCTGTCCTGCATATCTGAGCACAGAACCATCTCCTGGTTTTCCATTGTCTCATTAACCCAATGCTTAGATCCATCACAACTTCGTGTTCCTTCTTCCCCCAGCTGCAACAGGTTTTTGCTGGAGGACAGAACTAGCTGTTGTCTGTCCCTAGCTTTGTCATTTTCCAGAAAGATGGAAATCTACTCTTCTCCTTTTCTGTCCTGCAGATCTGATCACAGAACCACCTCCTAGTTCTCCTTTCCCTCATCAACCCAATGCTCAGAGCCATCACAACTTTCTGTTCCTTCTCCTCTCAGCTGCAGCAGGTTTTT